ATTGTCACTTGTTCTGCATGTCTTAAATGCAGTCAAGTCAAGCAAACAAACATAATTAATGTCATAAATCGTCCCATAAATGTTATCGATATGAGAAAAATGTCATAAATATTAAAAGATCAGTTTCTGGGATCTATCTATGATCATCTTTTTGGCCGGACAAGCTTTTAAAAGTAACTTTTTGAGTTCCATTATTGGTATTTCACTCACAGGTGTTTCATTTCCAATGGTTCTTTTGAAAATTCTTGGAAATTCCATCATTGAATGTTGCATAACTTACCATTTGCCATTTGGCACACCAGTTTTGTTTTAGACATGGTGATGAATGTTGTCAACTTGCAGTTTGGGCATGTTATAGTTTCTTCTTCAGGTGTGATGTTTTCCAAATAGTTTTAAGGCAATGCAGGAGGCACCTTTTTTAGTGTTCACTACGATGCAATGACCAGTGACCTCTAGGTCACCAATTTCTGATACAACTGTTGCCTCATTGGTATTGAAAATTTTATATCATCAAAGATACAGACTGTTAAGCCCTGGATGTGATAACGTTTATCGGAATGTATTTTATCTATCAATTTCTTCCCACAATACCAACTTAAAACCAATACCAGCTGACCTGTCTCGTACCCAGGTGCTTACATGAAGTATTCAGGTAGGCAGCCAACGCGCGAAGGGGCTGTTGGGAAGGGTGCGTGCTGGAGAGCACCTGGCAGTTCTTGTATACTGTCATGGCAGGAAAACATGGAATTTAATACAAAAAGTTACCATATCGTCATATACTGTGTGTGTAAAACCTTACTTTGTGATGAAGAGTTGAATTGAATGCCATTGGCAAATAATAATAAATTTGTAGATGTTCGATGACATGCAAAATGTGCGAAAAATTATGAGTAAATAACATGGCAAGTTAACCGTGCGAATATTTCGAATATGTCATTCGGTATTACATGGAGAATAATAGAATGCTATCAGTTGCTTAGCATAAAACAGTAACAGAGAAATGATTAGAAAGTCATATAATTGCTTTTGTATTAATAACATCTTTAGCTGAAAGCTCAATCAGTCGATCACAATGCCAATGGCAATTTCTATTAAATGTATACTCATATACTGTAAACAAAAGTCCAAGTAAATAAAAGTTCACAGCCGTAAAGTTTGAAATATTTATTACAACAGTGCAATTTTATAGTCTGTACCTTTATATAGTTATAGCTTACAAATCTAGTTCCTGCAAGTCTAGTTCTTCAACGCTTCGGTTGTTGACATGTTAATATTGGAATTTCCATGGACTTTAAATAAGGCATATGTCGTATATACCAAGACTAACAGCATGAATTCACACCCGGATGACAGAAGAATATTAACATTAGTCAATTCAACAAAAACAAGTAGCAAAAAATCGTAAATGACAACGAAATAGCACAACAATCTCTCCCCACTACAATACTTCATGTAAACTCGTCATATGTGCATCACTGTTTTTTTACAAAGAGACGCCTGTGTACGAGGCAGCCAGCTGACGGTTTCAAAAAATATAGTACAAAACATAATCCGAAGATAAGCATCTTGAAACCCAAAATATGAGTCAAACAAGAAAGTGAGTGAGTAATATTTCGATTTTATTACAAAATCATCATCAGACTAACTGACATCATCAGACTAATCATCATCAGTTAGTATGATGATTTTGTAATAAAATCGAAATATTACTCACTCACTTTCTTGTTTGACTCATATTTTGGGTTTCAAGAAGAAGATTTATTACCAATAACAAAAAAAAAGAATTACAAAAAACTATACAACATTAATTAATATAGTTAATATATATGGTTAGGTATAGGCTGGATCGATATACCGGATATATCCAATATACCGGTATTTGTTTAGATACCGGTTTGGCGATATTGACAATTTAAAAATACCGATATACCGAAATTTCGGTATTTTGCTGCCTAATACCGAAATGAAACGCTATTTCAAGTCAAACTTGCTAACAATGACGTTTAGAAAGCAAAATTAATACTCACAGATGCATGATTTTGTTCTTACAGTTCTAGCGGCTTTGGTTTAGCAATACCAGACGTCTTGTTTATTTAAGTTGCCTTATTACAGTAATCGGAAATACAAAAATGGCGAAATTATTAAAGGAAAATTTCGACAAAAAAGAAAACTTTGATTTTGGAAAGTGGAAATACTAGCATTTGCGAAGCAGCAAAAACCTTTTCTGGCTTTTCAAGTTTTTTTTGTCGGGCAGTATAAGGTAACTTTTTGTTGTTTTTAATCTTATTTAACAGTTTTAGACATGCTAAGGGACGGACCATTATTTTTTTGGGAGGGGGGGGGATGAAAAATTCTTAAAAAAAATTGTTTGCAAAGACAAAAAAGTGCAAATAAATTGTTTGCACACATAGAAAAGAGGAAAAAAATAGTTTGCAAGCTAATAGAGATTATGCAACATCAACCAAGGTTAATGACAATGAACAGAGTGCTCACCAACATACCCAGGGTCTTCACTCCAAAGCCCTGGGATGGGACACGCTGGGCACATGTTGTAATCTACATATGGGTTAAATATTAATCTATTTAATACAGTCATTTCTTGGGGGGGGGGGTTGTATTTTTTAGTATTTTTTGTATAAAATAGGTAATTGGACAAGTACTGGTGTAAGACATTGAGACATTGTGTAGCGTAAATAAGGAGAGGACCAGTATCAGGGCCTTTTTTTAACATACAAGCGGTGTGGGGGGGGGGGTGTCTGCCTTATGCCCCCTCACAAGATCACATTTTCCTTTTCATTTCCCTTTTTCCTAAATTTACACAAACAAACCAGCAAAAAATAACAAATTGATAAACAAAAAGTAAGTTTTAGGCTTTATCCTTTCTCCTTGTTTAACAAAATCGATTTAAATTGTTACGTTTTTCTACCTGGCACTAAGTAATGATGATAAATTATTGTTAATATTTTTTTATTTTTTGTGCGTTTTTTCCTTCATTTATTTCAAATACAAGTATACTTAGCACAAATTTTAGAGCAAATTTAAATGCTCAGAATGCAGGAAATGGCATTTCAGGGCTTCAAATTTCAAAAATTTTCTGGGGAAATATGCCCCCAGACCACGTGGCCGTCAGCCATTCCTATCCTCCTCTAATATATTATCTCACAGAAAGGTCCCCCCCCCCCTCACACGGGAAAATCTTTAAAAAAGGCCCGGACCAGTATACCAAAAAAACTATTAAATGTCTGTTTACATATTAAATTTATACTTCTGACAACACCACATGTTGTTCGATCACCAGCGCCGTAGCAACCGGGGGGGGGGCTGCAGCCGCCACAACAATTTGCTAATAATTATTCATTTTTCAAAATCATGCAGACCTTTATCATTTAATTCATGACAAACTGCAAAGAATGAAGATATTACCCATACTTTCCTGCAACTTATCCAATATAAAGTTTAGTACTACAGAATTGTAAATTTCGCTGTTTTCTGACCATCAGAATTCTGTCAAATCTTCCCCAAAGTCCAGGAAATAATGGCATTTCAGAGACTCTAAATTTAAAAATTTCCTTGGGTCTTTGGTCCTCGCTTTCAGCCGCCCCCCCCCCCAATCGAAAAGAGCTTCCCATGGCCATGATCACACATGCAATAGTGTAATTGGGCACCAATTAAACTATATATATCAATTTATAATGAAATCCACAGCAATCAGATGGACAAAAAAATTGTTTGCAGAAGGAAGCAGGCGCAAAAAAATTGTTTGCAACGACAACAGCACCAAAAAAAATTGTTTGCGTTGACGAAATGTCCATCCCCCCCCTCCAAAAAAATAATGGTCCGTCCCTAACTGGAGGATCTGTTTCTATACTTACTAACAATAGAGAATCAAGCTTCGCGTTCAATGACAAACGTCAGGCAAAGAAAAATTCTATGCTATAAAGCAATAAAAAGTAAATGGGCTTGTTGTTTTATAACTAGAAAGCTTAATTAATAAAAGGGGAAGTCAAGTCCGTAAATCGTAATGTAAACAAACGGTTTGTTTACATTCTGAACTGCTGTATTTTTTAAAATATGATGTACTGTCTGAATATCTAACACCATTGTGGTTCGCTATGCTTCTAAGGGACTGATCATTATTTATTGTACAGGGGGTAGTGATGGGCGATTACCGATTACTTGGTATCGATACCACTGCATTTACCAATTTAACTTTACTTTGTTCAGTGGCGGAAATCTCGATGGGGCGGGGGGGGCGGCCGCTACCCCTCCCCACCTTCGTGGAAAATGACGAATTTTCGGAAATTTTGACCTATAAGAGGGCTAAAAACAGCCTTTTCGAGTGCAAATGGAGGGGTTTGTCGGAAATTTGAAAGTTTTGTTGGTTTGAATTTCCGCCACTGACTTTATTTGACGTTCTATCCACTTCCCCGATTAATATTCCTGACCTTGTCGACAGTATAAATGATGAAAAAGGTGGGAAATAACTTATAATGGCGGAAAGTTCTGAAATACAATCGTCATCGTAGTAATCGTTTGGATAATCGATACCTCGATACTTTTGCGAAAAAGTAATCGGTATCGTATCGAATCGATACTGGTGGTATTGCCCATCACTAATGTCAGGGGGAGACTGAGGAGAAACTATAATATTTTTTCATGCCCCCCCCCTCTGAAGACAAGTAAAATTTTCAAAGCCCCCCCCCCCCCAACAGGAAAAACAAAAACATAAATTTTGGTCTCCCCCTAGCTCTTTATCTTTATTTAGAGAAACAAAAACTCTGCCTCTTTATTTAGAAACAAAAATGGATAATGGGGACCAATAGACAACTCCCATTATAGACTAATTTTTTATCTTGGCAAAAAAGTATATTCTCAGGAAGGGCATACTAAAATTAGTAAAATTGCAAAGTTTGGTTGCAAAATGTTGTAAAATGTAGAAAATATAGCCTTGCATGCAATACAGAAGTATACAAAAGTTGCAAACTTTGCAAGGCTATATTTTCCGTATTTTACAACATTTCGCAACCAAACTTTGCAATAATTTACTTATTTTAGTATGCTCTTTCTAGCTGTGGTGATTTATCTGCATCAAGGCCGGATTTTGAGGGGAGGTGTGGAGAGGTGCGCACCTCCCCTGAGATCGTTTTGCACCTCCCCTGAGAATTTTTGCACCTCTCCTGAAAGGTCATGCACCTCCCCTTGGGAATTAGTTTCAATGATGGAACAAAGTGAAAATATGATGGTTGCTTAGGATCTACACTTTGTGACGCAAGAAAGTTCTCTGTAAAATTGAAACAGTGATAGCCGTTCATCTCTGTATCAAGTACCCTTTTAATGCAATGTTTTGAAAGAAACTTTGTAGCAATTGTAATGAAGTGCAAGATTGGAGTCATACATTCATAATTCATTAATACATTGGTACATATGTACACTACATACATACCTCACCTCGTTGATATTGGCTTATTCTACAATAAGCCCTAACGTTCCATGGGGGTAATGTGAGCTAGACCGCTGCACCTCCCCTAAAAAAATTTTCCACCTCCCCCACTATTTTCACCAAAATCCAGCCTTGATTTGCATCCCTTTCCCTAGTTATAAAATTAGTCCATAATGGGAATTGTCTATTTACATGAACATAAGCGACTTTTTATTTGGCTTCCATTTATGAATATTAAAGGTCCATTTACATTGTTATTTGTTGTTAAGTTGTTACTACTAATCTTTTTTCAAACTGGTAAATCTTTTCAAAGCCCCCCTTCTTTCGTCTCTCTGTATTTTTTCAAAGCCCCCCCCTTCAGGTTTTAAAAAAATTAAAGGCCCCCAGTTTCTCCTCAATCCCCTGTACAATAAATAACGAGCGGTCCCTAAATGAATATGAAATAGAGTTTATGTTCAGAAAAATTCGAAACATTCGAAATTTGGGAAATGTTCACATTAGATCTCGAGGTCCTCACATTGTTATGAGCAGAACCGATGCGCAGAACGGACTTGACTTCCCCTTTAACTATTTCTATGTCATATGAAATAAAATATGACACGCAGCCGTTGAACGAAAATTATGCCAAGAAAAGTCGGCCTTGCCGTTTGGCGTTCCGCAAACGTGAAGCTTATTACTGTAAAACCCGAGCAAAATTGCAAAAACCTGAAGTTTTTTCAGAAAACCAGGGGGTGTGGAAAATGGAAATTGTAGCGGGCTCAAATCCGAGCCTGCCAACCTGGTCAGTGGTAATTACCATCAGAAATACGGACCAGTTGTCATGGAAATGCCGTCAGCAAAGGCCAAAATCCGCCATGTTTTTGCCTGCATTTTTTTTTGCGCGCAGGTTCTCCTGGGTAAATAAAATATCACTCATCAAGTCATCAGTTCCACATTCAAATTTAAATTTCTAGTTGTTTCCATAAAAAATCCTGCAGTTCTATACAATGTTCCATACTCTATAGAACATAGAAGCCATAAAATATTGAAATTTACGGAAGGACTGATTTGGATAATCACAAAAAGAGAAAGACGATTTTTGTAGATAAACCGTAAAAGAAACTCCCTACATTCCCCTACAAATTACCTTTTCCCCCGTAGGTATCCCCTATTCCCTACAAGAGGTGATAATCCCCTACCGTAGGGTAATCCCCCTACGAGTGACAGCCTTGACTGTGTTTTACAAGTCGAGCATACACAAGAGCCAGCGATATATTAAAACCAGGGCGCTTATATAGCGCTTATATATAAGCGCCCTGATTAAAACCGTTCTAATGAAATAGATACTTAATGTTACGATAAATCCGAACTATATAAAAACTGGACAGATTTGAAATTGCTCGCAAAACAGCTATTAGTATCCTGTTTTTGATATATAGGTTTCTTTGGGTACTTATAATGTAGAATAATGAAAAAAAATTCTGGAACACAAATTTTGTAAACCAGGGGGGTGTATCTTTTCCGACAAAGTAAAAATGGCTTGCGCACGAGATTTAAAAGCTATAACATATTTTGAGTTAATGGATGAAAAATGTGTTGGGTGTTTAATTGCTGCACGAAATTTCAGACAATTTTACGGTGGCCCATATGTGCAAAACACCCCCCAAAAAATTATTGCACCCCAGGGGTCACAAAGCACCCCAATATGAAATCAAATTGCAACGGTTAATATGAAACACCCACCAAAAGATTCGAAACACCCCCAAAAGATTCGAAACACTCCCCAAAAGATTCGAAACACCCCAAAATATTCGAAACACTCCAAAAGATTCGAACCACTCCAAAAGATTCGAAACACCCCATAAGATTCGAAACGCCCCAAAAGATACGAAACACCCCAAAAGATTTGAAACACTCCAGAAGATTCGCAATAACCCAAAAGATTCGAAACCCGTCAAAATACATCTATTAAATGGAATGCACATACCAGTAAATTAAATAATATCCTCCTGATTGTTTTTCCTGGGCTCCTGATTTTATCAAGTAATGTTGGTGTTTGTGATTATAATTTAAGTATTAATGACAGAAGTCGACCTGATTGGGATAGCACCTTACTTCCCGCTAATTTGAAAGAAGAACAAGTTATACGACACTATTTTCATTCGGGTTTTGAACACAATGTAATCCTCCTGTTCTTATCAAGGTATCATGGTATAACAATGTCGACTTCCAGAACTCTCTGTTATCGTTTAAAGCAATTTGGATTGAGCAGAAGTCATGCACCTGAGGAAATAGATGAAGAAAGGGTTGCTCACTTGATCAGACAAGAACTAAATGGCGACGGGTGCCTATTAAGATATCGTGCATTGTGGCGTCTTATTAGAAGGAAATATCACGTTAAAGTGCCGCGAAGAGTAGTACAAAGACTGCTTCGTGAAATAGATCCCGAAGGATCTAATGAACGTAGATCACACCGTCTTAAGCGAAGAGAGTATAACAACCCTGGTCCAAACTTCTGCTGGCACGCAGATGGTTACGACAAACTAAGACCGCATGGATTCCCAATACATGGGTGTATAGACGGTTTTAGTCGTCACGTTCTATGGCTGGTACGTAGTTTGCAAGAGCAACAATGTCAATGATCCAAAAATAATTTCTAAATACTTCCTCCGTTGCATCCAACAGAACCAGGGTTATCCAACAATGGTACGAACCGACACAGGCACTGAAAACACGTTAATGGCAACAATGCAGTGCTTCTTACGTAGATCTCATAGTGATGATCATGCAAGTTTAAAAGCCCATGCATATGGGCCATCCACTTCTAATCAGAGAATAGAAGCATGGTAGAGCCATTTACGTAAATCTTGGACAACATGGTGGATGAATTTTTTTTCACAAATGGTAGAAAGAGGGGAGTTGGATACAAGTGATGATTTACAGAAAATGTGTTTGTCATGGTTCTGCTTCAACAAACTATTACAACACGGTTTAGATCAGGTACGTACAAGCTGGAATACCCATTACATAAGAAGATCCCGTTACAACACGCAAAGACCAAATGTACTTTTTACCAGAATCTATCGGAGCACGCAATTGCAAGTTTCTTACTGACAATGAGGATATTAATGCCATGTAAGCACATGTTGACTACCAATAACAAGACGACTATGATATATATTTTGAAGAAATTTGTCAGCAATTGAGCCTGCCAGATAGATTCCAATGGACTGCAGATGAGGCAAAACAATACTTTCACCGTTTAATGGATATTGCACGTCAATAAACAATAGATCCATTAGATCGTATGCACAATGACATTCCTTATGGTACGTTACTGCTGCTACCACAATTCTCTGGTAGGTAGTCACACACCACAAAGAAATGTCCAAATGCTTTTACATACATGCTATTGGAAAAGGTTTTATATCCGGAAGAGCCAACTAGTCAAGGTATATAGCATTACTAGGCGAAGCTAAAATCTTTGTGAAACCCAGGGTGAGACCTTGATAATTTAACTAATTCGTTCACGTCCTTTCTCAGCTTGAAATTCGGCAAAAGATCGAAATCTTTTTTGTCCCACTCCAGAATTGGTTGAAGTGTTTGAACTCGAACTCGAAGAACATCCCGCGATGGAATCAGTATTTTTCACTTGTTTTGGCGTGTCGATACGAGTGCACTTGCCACAAGATGGACAATAGAAGAATGTACTCAAAATTTCTGTATTGCAATTATTGCACTTAGCTTCATTTGTAAACTTTATTATAGTAATAATATTACCAATTTTTTTGTTCAACAAGACTTGTATTACAAATATTTTGGGGTGTTTCGAATCTTTTGGGGGTGTTTCGAATCTTTTGGGGTGTTTCGAATATTTTGGAGTGTTTCGAATATTTTGGAGTGTTTCGAATCTTTTGGGGGTGTTTCGAATCTTTGGTTCAGATTAACCGTTGCAATTTGATTTGCATATTGAGGTGTTTTGTGATCTCTGGGGTGCAATTATTTTTTGGGGGGTGTTTTGCACATATGGGCCACCGTACAATTTGCTTCAGTTTAAGCCCTTCAACTATTCACGCAAACTTACATTTTTCCTAAAAAGTCAGCAATTTGCATGCTTAAGGTAAAGGCATTTAATTATGTATGCGAAAGGCTGATTTTTTAGGAACAAATGGATAGTTAAAGGGCTTAAACTAAACAAATTGTCTGAAATTTTGTACAGTAATTAAAAACTCAACAAATTTTCCATCCATTAACTCAAAATACGATTAAAGCTTTTAAATTTCGTGCGCAAGCCATTTTTAGTTACACACATAACATGTATGTAATATCATCTAACGAGAAATTTAGCCATGAGTATACAATATGGTATACATTACACGTTGCGCAGGCGAAAGTGATGAAAATTTGAACTTATTTTGACCTTCGGGATTGGAATGATATTGGATTCTTTCCAAATTCTCGGGACGACGCTAGAGGAAAGGGATGCATTAAAAATGGTGGTAACTGGATCGGCTAGCACATGAGCAAAATCTTTTAGAAATCGACTTGGTACATCATCAGGTCCTGTTGCTTTATAAGGTTGAAGAGCCAAGAGCTTTTGACAGACCTCGTAAGGTTGAACGGATAAAAAGGCGTCGTTAGCCGGTAAGGACGGGGGCAGTGAATTTACATCAAAAGTCGGAATATTCGCGTTGACAGAGACGTAAAACTCATGGGCACTTGCTAGTTGTTCGTCGTTCAGAGTTTCCCCATTGCGTTCTAAAGAAAAAGATTTTGTTTTCTCAGGTTTACCGGACATTTTATTGACCATTTTCTACCATCTACGACTGTCAGTGTTTCGTAGGTGCTGAACTTTGTTCCTAGCTTTCCGTTATTTCGTATTGGATCTTGCGTCTTAGTGAGAATGTTCCTGCTATGGAATGCTTTTGACGATCTCTTATGAGGGTTTTAATGGCTGGTGTTACCCAAGGTTTATCGGAATGATGGAATTTCACCAATGGAATTTTCGGGCAACCCAGGTGGGTGATAAACGACACAGGCTGCAATGCCTGAGAGAGGTCTTGGTAGGCGAGTTGGGGGTAGCCAAAGCCACAAGCACTCAAAATTGTCGCTTTCAAAGTCAGTTCGACGCTTAGTATGGATATGCTTAGAGAGATAAACACAAACCCCACCTCCACACACGTATATAAGGGCGGTCCCTTCGGAAAATGTTATAACCACTAATTGAAACAAGTTTATCTTCTATATCATCGTTCAACCATGTTTCCGTCACTGCCACGAAATTTACTGATTCGCGGATAGATTTGCGATAAGTTCATCAACATTTGGTAAAAGGGAACGTGCGTTTATTAAAGCAAATTTCGGGAGCATATGGGTTTCATAACTTTGCTCATTTCAACAGGATTATACCGTCTTACTCGTATTAAGTTAGATGCGTTCCGCATATTTTGCTTAGGTCTGTAACGACGGCGGCGATAAGAAATTCTGACTGGGATTGTGTGAGCCATTATACATATGTAGAAAGAGTTCCTTTATGGGTCAAGTTAATTTTCCTCTCCACGGGGTTCTTGATGTCATCCTTTGCGCGCCAGGGTTTACAGGTAACATATTTAGGCAAAAAATGTTCCTTTTCCACTAGTGAACTGGCAGCCGAAGGGACATGAATCTTCGATGAGAGTATTCCTCTATGATGACTGGGGAAGATAGATATATAGGTTGGAATTATGTTTTTCTTATTTAGATAAGAAAGGATCTGGTTTTCATTCACATTTTCTACGATGCCAGTTAGAAAGAATTTCTTTGTTTTTCTTCGCTTGCGTTCCACAGTTTCTTAGTTTTGCATGATGAGTTTGGCGAGATAGGTTTGTGTTTATTGCTTGTAACAGTTTCGCGAGATGACACTATATCTGCATAAGTTAACATATGTCCTTGCATTGAGGTTTGCTCAGCATTTAGTATTTTATTATTGGATTTTAACCGTTCGCTCTCACTAAGATCAGTCTGTTCGTTAGGGGCAAGAGAGCCAACATTAATAGCTTCGCTTGCACTATGATTAACTTCTTGGTTACCTCTCTCGCTGTATTCAAAGTTATATCGCTGTGGACGGCAATATGTTTATCCATAAAGTTCTGAAATTGCGACATCTATACCGTAAACCTCCGACTATAAGCCCTGGGCCTATAGTCAATGAGTGGAAGTTCAATTTGAGCTTCTCTCGAGTGTCAATTGCATTGCTGTTTTTGAATAGCTGGAGAGTGAGTAATCACATAGTAAGGTACGATACATCCAGCTATTCAAAAACAGCAATGACACTCGAGAGAAGCTCAGATTGAACTTCCACTCATTGAGTGTGAGTGAGCTTTTAGAATACGGGCGTAAAACTCTAAACCTTAAACCTTAAACTGTAAGCGTGCAAAGCGTAATGGGAGCATCATTTAATCAGTTTAGAAGTCACATATGGGACCTAATTCTTAGAGACATTAAGCTTTGCGCGCTTAGAGTTTAAGGTTTGCAAAGGACAACCTTTTTTGAATTAGCTGTATACATGGACGATCCGTTTTGTGTTAGAGTGTAATAGTGATACACCTGCCTCCTCCGCAGGCTCCTCTATATAGATCAAATTTAAATATCGGTAATATATAGATCAGCGCGTGCACTGCAAGCCCGATGAAGACGCACGCCTTTAGGCGCACGCCCGCCTGACTAACGACGAGCGCGCAAAGGAAAATGGTGATACACAAGTATAGTAATAGTGATAAACAGGCAGGGGTGCCGGAGCCACGGGGGCAGCGGGGGCAACTGCCCCCGTTGCCTAAACAGTGCGGGGGCAGCACGGGGGCAGCAGGTTGCCTTTTTTACCAGAACTGCACTTCGAACGTCGTGCGTTTTTCACATGAATTGAGATTAAAAACTGTTTTAAACCAATTTCACTCATATTTGAATCTGAATTCCTCTCAGAAACGTTACCAATCAGTTTCCACCTATGAAAAAAAGTGAAAAAGAAAGCCTTCCTAAATAACTGACAACTGTTTAGTGTCATGCAACGAATAAAAATGTTCCAATCCATGCCGAAATTTGTCTAACTATATTAGCTACAAGTAATGAAGTATCTGTTATACAGCAAAATGTTAACGAACATTGCCCCTCCCCCCACTCCCAAAAAAAAATTAAGGCTCAAGAATAAGTGCCCTTTTTAAATGGCTACCCCCGCCGCTTCATTTTGCTTCCGGCGCCCCTGTAAACAGGGACGCCGGAACTGGGGGGGCAGAAGGGGTAGCCTCCCCCGTTGCCCTTTACCAGGAGGGGCAAGGGGGGCAAAGGTGCCCTTTCAATTTATAGGATTGCCTTGGCAAAATGGCGAATTAGCGAAATAATGCAATTCTTTTACGAATTTGCTTCAAAAAACGCAAGAAATGCAGTCATCGAGCTTCAAGAATAGCACAATCGCCTGGCGGAGAACCCCCTCACACTCCTATCATCCAAAAACTAGAAAACATGATAAGGCGAAGTTCAACTCCCGATGTTTTGCAAACATTTCTTAGTATATATAAATTCAAAAGTGCTCTTTCACGTAAATCTGCCCCCCTTGCTTTCACATCGTTCCGGCGTCCCTGGTGATAAACAAGTGTTAAGCATAGTAATAATAGTGATTAATAGTGGTAATAGTGATAAACAATAGTGATAAACAAGTGGGCTTATATTCGGGTGGGCTTATATTTGGAATAGGGTGAGCGTTAGTATATCAGGTGGGCTTATAACGGGGGGGGGGGGGCTTATATTCGGGAGGCTTATATTCGGAGGTTTACGGTAATAGGAATGTAAAGATAAACAGTCAGTAACATATAAAGTAAGCGTAATGTACTTGATGCAATCGTTCACTGAAAAGCCCCAGTAGCCAGTAGGAAGCTAGTGAGCTACTGAGCTGAATTGAATGTAATGTGAGTTATTAAAATTACATCTTGGTAGCCTAATATACAGGTGCATAAAAGGTAATACTAGAAATGCTAGCAGGATTGTGAGAACAAACATCATTTTGTTACAAACACCATTTTACCATCAATTTACCTACCAATGGTAACGCATAACAAACAGAATGTTGCTGCAATAAGCCAAAGGTTCCATCCAAGTTCAACAAAACCATACCAACAACATGATGAGGAAGTTGATAAATTTATTTCTAATTGGTTTGAACTTTTATTTTCTACATTGACTAAAAGTTAATTAAGTTGGTGAACCGTGAACATACATGCAAAGTTAAAAACATTTGTTGCGCAGTTAATAAGTCTAACGGATAGAAAGAACTTAATTATTTATTTATTTATTATTTGGACAAATTATTGTAACTTTAAGAAGCTATATATTTGAACCAGTTACTTGTGAACAAATACAAGAGTTCACAGGAAATGTCCAGCACGTGTTGTATATCATATTTCAAGTTATCAAGTTATCAGAGGTCACCGTGTAGGGACACGGTGACTTATGCCTTTACAAAGGAAATGAGACGGGAAATCATCGTCGTCGTGACACGCGGAGCAGAGTTGGGGCAACCTCCATAGCTGTGAATTCCGACCACTCTCCAGTATCCACCAGCCCACGTGTAGACTGGACTCCCACTTTGACCAGCCGCAGTGTCATTCATGTAGAAAATCCTGTCGGCTGTGACACTAGTAATTTTTCCTCCCGTGATCCACATGGTGTTTTCTGGCTTGTCGCCTGGAAACCCACAGTTGGTAACAATACGGTTTTCCAGTTCGCCGTCAGGAAGAGATGTACAACCCAAGCCCCAAGGGTCACGTCCTGGAAGGCGAATAAGCCCGTAGTCGTGGTCTGCACTGCCGTCCTTGATATACTCAGGTGCAGCATACATGTCCTCTGGTCCAACTTCAAACGCCGCCATTCCTGGGACCTTCACGGTGATCTTCCTGGCGTACGCATTTTTTATATACGTGCAATGGCCGCTGGTTGCAATAGCAGCAGAGTGGGTGTCGTCGACCTCGAGGTTGATCTAGAACTCACTTCCACGCCACTCACGACCTTCTGCGTCCACCATTTTCAGGTAGCAAATAAAGTTATATGGTGGAGATGTCATCGGCACTAGTTGATAACGTGTGTCTTTGCCACATATGCTTTCTGGTAAAGCAGAAGCTTCCACAACAGGCTTGGCCATTTCCAACACAAAGCTAGATGGGTAATAACGATAATAACATTAGGTTATAACAAACTAAATCTCTCTTGATGAATATGAGTAGTACATACAACTTCATGAGCGTTGCAGTTGTGCTGAAACGGAATCGTCACGAATTCGGAAATTGTCGGTGTCAGGGTTGGTAGATTGGCGTCTTGGAGGCCAAATAACTAGATTTTGGCTTCTTTTTACTTGGCCTTAAAAAATCAGTTTGGCTATTTGGTTTCGTTTTGGCCTCTTCATCTATTGTATTCTAGAAACAGATAATTGGACCTCCACAGGCGTTCGGGATTTTGCGTTGTGTGCCTTTCTTAATTAGGCCTGATTCCACGAGCGCTTTTTCTTAGCGAAATATTTTGCCTGTTTCTTTTGAATTGCGACCACTCGAATAAATTATTTCTACTTGATTGCCCACAATTCAAAAGAAACAGGCGAAATATTTCGCATTTCGCCGAGAAAAAGCGCCCGTGGAATCAGGCCTTTATAAGCCTTATTTAGGTATTGTTTTTTTTAGATATTTACAGGACTGGAAAGTAGGTAAAAATTTGACCATGCACGCTTTGGGAAAAAGAAGTCATTTATGGAAGTCATTTCGTGGTTTATATTATGGATTATTATTATATAAAAATAATATATAGGGTTATACAATATTTCACGGTATAAAGGCCTACTTTCCAGACCCTATGAAGATCTAAATGAAACAATAGCTAAATATGGCTTATAAGAAAGCTGCACAACGCATTAGCGAACTTTTAGTTAAGATGAGCCCTGGATGAGCTAAATCTAGTATACGCGGACGTGACAAAAAGACAGTTACTTATGCTTTTCTATTGGATTTATCACCATAAATTTGTTTTTCACCTGTATCCTTCTTTGTTGACAAAAATAATCCAGATTTTTACCCGTGTTGCGGACGCTGCCAATTTAGAGTGTGTTTTTTACATCTCAGTTAAATTCTCTATTACCTATCTGACACCGACGTTTCCGAATTCGTGACGATTCCGTTACGGGAACATTATGGCCAGTCAGTGTACTACAATGTTTGATTTACGTAAGTACTAAAGTACACTGAGAATTTGCACCTAAAGTTTGATCTAATTTAACTCCACACGAGTCAGAACACGAATGAACACGAATGGAACACGAGTGAAATACAAGTCCTAATTAAACGACTAAAAACATTAATACGACTTAGGGAAAGTACATTTATTATGCCGAAGGGGTGATTGAAGATGTTAAGGGGGGCACCGAAATATTTTCTGGCACTAAAGGGGGGGGGGGGCTCCGAAAGTTCTCGATATACTGAAGGGGGGGGGCTATAAACTTTTCAAAGTTTTAAGGGTAAATTATATATTGCTATTGGTGGACATGGCAAAAATATAATACACACGTGACGGTGAAGGAACATATTTACGAATAAACGTTGACTAACATAGATAATGAGTTATATTGCTATTCTAATGACTTCCAAACCATCTATTCTATATTAACTGACATGGGTGAGCTCCACATGGAATACGTAAAAGAAGGCTGCAACACGCCTGTCAAAAATGCATACAAAAGCACCAATATGCTTCAACTTCTGAAATTTTCATTCTATTTCTACCAAATTTTCCGGCGAATATAGAACATATCGTTCTTACAAATCGTATGTTTTTTGTTTCTGGAATTGCTACTTTTTGGCGGGTAAATTACGTCACAAACTTGGCGCCAAAAAATTGAAAATAAGCTGTTGGTGATTTTATAAATCCATTTAGAAGATTAGAGCAGACTAAGGGTACTTTAAAACTGAAATTTGTTTCTAAATATACTACCATTTTATGGGAAGACATAGATATACAAATGCTGAAAAATCCGACATATTGTTACTAAATATAGAACAAAAAGGAGGATTTTTAGAAATTTAAGTCATTATATCTCTTCAAGGGACGTAGCGACCGGGGAGTGTTGTAACCCACCCCTACTGTGAAATTCAGGCAAAAATTATGTAAAATTAACGGTTAAAATTTTGACATTTTCAGGCAAAATTTGCGTAATAAAGTAATTATTTTTGGGAAATGATAACCATTTTTGTAAAATACAGGCAATTTATATGCAATTTGTTTGCAAATTTGCTTTAGAAAATGCCAGAAATTCAGTCCTAGATCTTGATAAATGTGAAATTTTCGGGGAGAGGACCCACACACACTCTTTTCTCCTGAAACTTGTTCAATTCAGTGCAAATCAATCACCAAAAGCTTTATTATAATTATTACACTTCAGGTAAATTTTTGACATTGAAATTCAAATTTCAGGTAAAATCCTCCGACATCCACCCCCCCCCCCCCAACTTCAGATGCTTCGCAACGTCCCTGAATGACCCTGATGGTTGTATTTCGAAACCGATTTGAGTTTTAAGTGACCGCTACGAATGAGCGGAATTCGAATGATGAAAATCATAAAATAGTTGGTGCACTGTCACTGAACATTATTGAGGATATGATATCGCGATTAGACAGCCTTGCCCTTGGTGACCCATCTCCTCCTTGGTGACCAAATGCATCTCAAAAAGCTCCATGTCTATGTGAATTGTTCAATAAATCATTGAGTATTAGCCTTGTACCATTTGATTGGACACTTGCTAGTTGCTAATGTTGTTCCTGCTTTATAAAAAAGGAGACCAGGAGTTTGTGGAAAATTATAGACCTATATCTCTGCTATCTCTGGTTTCGAAAGTTCTGGTACGCTGTGTCTTCAAAAATATTAAAAATCATATTTCTGTCGCCGAATAAATCCTTGACCTTGTCAACATGGTTTCCTCGTGATATATGATATATATGATATGATATGATATGAAACTGTACACTGAGAATTTACTGAACTTGCACATAAAGTATACTGAGAACTTGCACATACACTGAGAACTTGCACATAATTCGTAAAGTATACTGAGAATTTGCGCATTAAGGCCGTTTTCCACAAGGCGGAATTTTGCGCGCGGACGGAATATCTCTTTGTCTTTTCCAATTAGTTCCACCTGAGTCCCTAGAAATCACAAGACAAAGAAAATTTCCGCTCCGCGCGCAAAATTCCGGAGAATTTGCACATAAAGTATACAGAGAATTTGCACATAAAGTATATACTACAGAGAATTTGCACATAAAGTATACTACAGAGAATTTGCACATAATTCATAAAGTATACTGAATAAGAGGGATTTTCAGTGCTTACTTTGTCTTTTGAGCATTTCAGTACAATATGTACGTTTCAGCATAGGCCGTATATGTATTTCACATGTTGTGAAACTATGTTTTTATTTAATATGTGTTGTAAACTTATGAATACATCGTCACATCGACTTAAACCGCAGACAAGAAGTACCAGGCTGTTTTTCAGGCAGCTAGAGAAGCGGCGACCGGACACTGAAGTAAACATAGCAAGAATGTAATAGTCGCTAAAGATCCTGATAGATACAGCAGATCTAGAATTTAAAAGGAACTTACCAATATAACCGCTTCACCAAATAATCCGAAAAGACGTATTAGTGAGCCTTCCAAAATCTTTCTCCAACTTGATGCTTGATTGAACTGTGAAGTGAATTTATATAGTCATGTGAAAATTTATTTTTCCGGTTTTGTGATTCGGAATTTAATCAACAGTCGTAAACAATGTTTTCCAGGTAATCCATGTTTAGTTGTTCTCAGAAAATCACGTGCAGTATTGTAATGTTATACCTCGGCTTTTGCATGCATGCATACCAAACGCGAATGAGTTCGGGCAAAGAGTTCGGGCAAAGTGCCAAAGTGTAACATGTTATCAAACAAATGCACATGTATTGCGCCAACCAGGGAACCAAATGAGTGTATTCTGTTCGATCTCAGGGTGGCTTTTTTGAATATTTATACGGAATATTTAACTGTTATAATATTTAATAACGAAATAATTCAAAAAATATTAACAATATATGTAAAAAATATATCTAACTTGTTAATAGAATGCATTTGTCGTGTTTCTGAGTTTAATTGATGCGATTGCTTCACGTTTTCGTCGTACTTGAACGGTCGTAAATACTGACACTGAACGACATAGAGTGGTAGTACCCTATTATAAGGGCCGGACCATTAGAAAAGTGATGGGGGTGGGGGACATTTCCAAACTGTACGATTATTTTTTCAAAATATTTTGCTTGTGTCATAATTTTTTTTTTAATAATCCCTTGCTCCAATTTTATTATTTTTCCAAAAATTGTTGGCGAGGGGGTGGGGGGGGGGGGGGGGCGGGGTAAAGGACATGAAAATTTTTCAGGACATAAAAGATGGTTGTATTTCGAAACCGATTTGAGTTTTAAATGACGGCTACGAATGAGCGAAATTCGAATGATGAAAATCATAACATAGTTTGTGCACTGTCACTGAACATTACTGAGGATATGATATCGCGATTAGACAGCCTTGCCCTTGGTGACCCATCTCCTCCTTGGTGACCAAATGCATCTCAAAAAGCTCCATGTCTATGTGAATTGTTCAATAAATCAATGCGTATTAGCAGGGACGCCGGAACGATAATAAGGCAAAGGGGTGCGGACGCACACCAAGGGCACCTCTATCGGAGCAAAACTTTAAATCTACCGGAATTTTTTTTCAATGGAAATTTTTGGGCGACCTCGCAATGGGTTCTGGGACATCACTACCAATGATTATACTAACGTTTTCGTTTTCCAACTCTGGAAACATGATTCCATCCAAATGAGACCAACCAAATACGTCGTTAGTTGTGTGGATTGATCTTTTGGAAATAGGCAGATTGTTGACAGTCCATGCCCGGGTGATGTCGATGTTCTCATTCCCGTCTAGATCTGAGACTATCAATCTGACTTCTTCTCCAACATTCTCTTTCGTTCCTTGGTTCACTGTTGTTAAGGAGAATGTCGTTGGAACGCCTGTAATTCCGAGTCGCTTAACGAGACTACTATCGCATAGAGATACATCTGACCCATCGTCTAACAGCGCATATGTTTGAACTTCGTGTGCTTCATCGATACCACGAACTGTCACAGGGATTACACGTAAACGAACTCCTGGCCTACCGGCCCCAGTGGCTGTGCAATGTCCTTTACTTGTTTCTCCTTCTGTCTTGTTATCCTTGTCAACTTGTTCTTCGACCTTCAGAGATTCTTTCTCTTCTTTGGACTGCGGCACTGAGCATTAATTTCAGACTCGCAGCCGAGTTGAGTCAAGTTGATCTGACAATTCTCCATATCTCGAGCGAGCTGTAATAACTTCTCGCTATCACCGTCTCTAATTAAACCTCCCTTCGTCACTTTGTCGATATACGCATGCGTGATTATGTGACTTTGACCAAACGAATTATGGAGTATTTCTTTAGCCCTCGAGAATCCTTCTTCATCAGGCAACATCACACAGTTACTAATGGCATCTTTCGCAATACCAGAACAAAGCTGAATAAGATAAGCTAACCTGGATCTTGGTTCTTGTTCCCATTCTTCAATGTTAGTCTTGAAATTTTCTAAAAACTTTGGGTAGTTCATCGGATTTCTGTCGAAACCAAGACAAACCCGTTTTGGCATTTAAAACCCTCTTCTGATCGATGAACCAAGAGTATTAGCCATCAGGATTAATAATAGGCGTACCGGGCGAGCCCCAGTTTGTTGGGCAGTCGGGCAATATTCGATTAACAGTCGGGCAGTTTTGGTTTGTTATATGGCAAATTTCGTTATTGGCAAATTTCTTTCCGACCCCCTAATTTTTTCCTTCCGGTACGCCCATGGGATTAATGATTCTTGTTGACTCTGGAGAACTCGGTACAACGGGTCAGATTCACCAGCGCCATAACTCCCTTCCCCTCGCTTGATTCTCCGAGGTGATCCTTCAGATACAGATTCGTTAGACCATGTGACGTTCTGTTTAGCTGGAGCGTTCTAAATGTAAGGGGTTGTAAATATAGCAATATAATAGCGTATTGGCCGGGACCCAAAAACAGTGTCCACGTACAAGAGGTGTCCGCTTCCGGGAGGTGTCCGTAAGTAGAGGTTCGACTGTACATTATCATCCAATAAGCTATATTACATGAGAAATGGGCAAAATACACAAGTTCATACAGTATACTCGTTGTAAGTGAAGAGTGAAATACAATACAAAGAATGTCTTATTTCATTTGTGCGTGTGAATGAGATAATATTTATGAGATTACATGAACAAATTCTCTTACAGTAATTCGATCAAATATTTGCTTTTGTTTCATGCTGTAAACTACGTCCAATGCATGATCAGACGAATTTGAATATAGGAGCAATAGAAACAGTAAGGGGGAAGGCATGTGTTTCGCCAGGTGTTTATCTTTGTTTTTGGTTTGTGCTTGTATTGTACGCTTATTTAGTGAAACACTTTAAAAAAGAGCATTAAGAAACAACAAAATATCTAAATAAAATCACTTTATAGATTGAGTTTTTGAAGTAAATTTTTGAAATAATATTCATTCAAGTGATCGGAAAGTTGACATGCACTATAAATACTTGCTACTGCTTTTAGTTCACGCTTTCATTTTTCACACATTTTCTCAAGCTGCATTATATTTTCAGCGAATTTCTTTTGGATATTATTGCTAAAAGTTTCTCACTTCTTTTATTATTTTTGCAAGGGAAAAGAATTCTTCTAATTAAATCAACCAAAATTTTGTAATTTCTTTCCCAAATAACTAAAATCAGCAAATTTATAAAATTTACAATAAAATATCTACATTTGTTTTTGCTATAACTGTAAAATATTAAATCCGTACACAAAGAGTATAATTATAGTAATATTGACGGACCTCTAGGGGCTCTAGTTATCGCCTTCACTTCTAAACCTATATGCATGTATAAGAATAAAACGTTTTAAAATGATTTCTCACAGTGACCCTAGAGTTAATACAATGTTCAACCTTTGTCTAAAACTTCCCCCAAGTGAAAATTCGTTTCTAAATTAAATCATCAATAATACTAGTTTGCATCTTTTCGCAACTGTTGGTTTGTTCGACACATTCTGTTTTATGACCTTGGCTTTCATATTGTGACAAGGAATCCTGGCTCCTGTTACCCGCTCTCTGTGAACATTCAAATAGAAACTCATCGAGGAATGATGACGACTGTGAATCTTGGCGTCTATTTGCGAGGGGAGGTGTATTCGAAGTACGTTCAAGCTCACGCAAGGAACGGCCATATTGGGTACATCTGGTGTTTGTGTCACTGCATGCAGTAAGAATATCATTTAAAATATCCTCGCATACGTTTTCAGTATTTGTGGGCGACACACAAGATGTAGCTCCAACTAAACCTTTATCAAGAGATTTATCGTCGCCGTAATCAGTTGGCGACATACTTGATTTAGCCTCCGTTTGATAACTGGCAGCAGAATTTGTTCGGTCAGTTGTTTTGTCTAGTAGGTTGTCAGCTATGTTACAGAATGATTTATCTGCATTGTTTCGTAATGACAGTGCAGCCTTACGTTCCAATTTGCCACTTGCAAAAGATTCTAGTCTTTCAATCTTGTGTTGCTCTTTGACAGTAGTTTCACTTACTGTGCTACTTTCACTTGCATTCGATTCAGCCTTCGTTTTCAAGTATTTGCTGCATTTCTTTGCATGCCTATCACTTTTATTTGGCTTAGCAATAGGCGTTTTTAAAACTTTTGTAAAAGATTTTTGCCTTGTCGATGACTTTCGGTAATGTCTGGCAAGATTTACTGAGCCTTTCTTCTTAGTGACCTTTTCATTCTCTTTCAAATTTCTGCCCGTATTCAATTCCTGCGAAGATTGGATTGTTTGAGAGTATGATTCAATACTCTCATTAGGATATTCCTTCCTTTTGTAATATTCCATGAGCATGCGCAGACGCTCTGTTGTATTACCGCAAACCACAGCTCGTGCAAACTCAACTTCAGATTTATACCCTTGAGCTTTGGAAATTTCCGTAAATTGTCGTAATCGTATTGTCTTCGGAGTTTCTCCGAAGAGAATCGAGCGGCCATCGGCTTTGCTCTGCACCGACAATTTCCTCTGGACTCTGAAAAATAGAAAATATGTATGGTATATAGATTATATAGTCCCACACTTCGATGAACAATGTTGCTCTTGTATTTGTATCTGTGATGTCTATGTAGAGCACAGATCAGTGATGTACTGATGTAGAGACGTTAAACCAACGACTTAAGAATATTTACTGCAGATAAGAAAGAGGTATATTCACGCCAAATAGGACATGACATACAAATTGCCGATGTATACATAATAAGGAAACAATATGAGGAATCCATTCCGGCATTTGAATTCAAATCAAATTGCAAATCAACATTGACTATTATATGTTGAAATATAATTCTTTAAAAGAATCGTGATGTGAATGCTTTGACCAAAATAAAACTATTTATAAAATTTAATAAACATTGATATGTAGTTTCGTGCCTAATCTCAAAAATTTCAAAAAATGTTCATTCACCCTAAAACATCAAAATTTGGATTTATATGTATGCAATGGGAGATTACGCCAAATTAAATACAAAACGAATATTTACTGCAGATAAGAAAGATAGTGGTACCACATTCAGTGGTTTCAAAAATGCGTTACACTTTCTTACTTGTTAGTAACAGAACAAATATTGTTTTTAGTCTTCTCTAAATCATGATTTTCCTCAGTCTTTGCATTAGATTCCTGTTCAGTGTAATCACCTATATCATCACTTTCCTCCCCATCACTCTGCAGAAAACAGAATAAAACCTCTGGTTAGTTAAGACCTGGATAACTAGTTCTATTTCAAATGCACAACAGGTATATTTCGAGCAAAGTGGTTACATGGCAAAATATTCATTTCGCCTAAGCAATATCTCATTCCTCTCTACCGGGATCTCGGCAAGGCGAACTACCCGGTTGTGCCATGTGAACGGTCAAATGGGAAAACTATTGAGTATCTATATGTGATTAAACATTTTAATTTATATTAATTTATGTTGATTGGGCATTATATGCCGGCCAATCAGGAGACGGTTGCCATAGAAACAGAATCGTATAATTTTACAACGAACTGCGAACGTTTTTAATAGCGAGTTTTATAGCCCGCGTGCAAGCCCAATGGAACTGATAGTGGGCCTGCAAGCAAGGCCCGGTATTTTGTACTTTCCGCGTTCGCCCACGAACGCGGCATTCTGATTGGCTGTTTGCTTTTACAATTAGATCAGTGATTCATCACAAAGGTTCTCCATAAGCTTAAAATTCGAAAAAAATGATCGCTTCTTTCGATTATAAATGGAACAAGAACAGACTGTTTATTGTTTACTTGAAGGAAGAGATGTTTATGGCGTTATGCCAATGGGGATTGCTTGTCGCGAGGTGTTGGAATAGCAACATTACGATTTAATACGACTGGGGTAAACTATAGTAACCTTTTACTTGAGTTTCATTAATTTCAAACAGACTTGATACGTTATATGTTCCTCAAGAAAATTATCATTTGGTTGACTCTGTTCTTGCACTGAAGAAAACGCGGTGAAGATTTAGAGGAAGTTGCATGTAAGCCTATTCGAAACACTTTGCGATTTACAAGGCTTCGCTGAGAGAGCGAAACAGAAGACGGTGTAGCTCCTGACGTTCGCAATCTGCGTGTATTATTCAATTGTCAGGATTAATTCGTTTATATTTTGATCTGACAAGTAACTCAACGCAACGTTTCGTTTCTTTTATATTAAACTTGAATCACTTGACGTAAAACGAATTACGTCTACTACAAATACACGCAGGTATGAAATAGAATATCAAAAATCGCAAGTCTCTAAAGTCAACTGTAAACTCTGTGAACGTTCGCATATAATGAATTAGTTTCGCGCCAAAACTGTCCGTGCAGAGTCTGGGTTCTAAACTATGAAATGAGCCCACAGTTACATGGCTCCCTTAAATTGGTTCAGTCAAACAATTTACTATATAACTTAAAGCTAAAGCCCTTTTTAAAGGTTAAAATATATCGTTCAGTTAGGCTCTCCGTCGGGGAATCGTTTATCTTCATTTTCATTTTGATCACCATCGCATTGTAATAGTAGTACCAACTTCTGGATTGGTCGTTCCAACACGCTTTTGGTACGAACGCGCTCTCCCTTTCGATTCAGTGAAGGATCACTCATAACCAGCTTCACCTTTCGCACAAATCCGTCCTCATCAGTATAAGCTTCTTCTATGCGGGCCATACGCCAACAATTTCTTGGCACGTTACCTTCGACATTAACACAATATCTCCTGGTTGCATACTTCGCCGAGGGCGTACCCACTTCTGCCTCTGTTGTAGTGAATACAGAAATTCCTTTCGCCAACGCGACCAGAACTGATTTACCAAATATTGCACTCTTCGCCAGCGTTTCACTAGGTACATGTCCTCCTTCTGAAATTCTCCAGGTGGTGGTAAGAGAACACGAGATTTCATCGTAAGCAAGTGGTTTGGGGTGAGTGGTTCGCCTTCGTTCGGTGAGGTTAGGTTGTTGATGGTCAATGGTCGGCTGTTAACTATAGCTTCCGTTTCACACATGAAGGTGTGGAGTGACTCCTCGTTCAATTGTGTTCCAGACTGATTTAGTATGGCGTCGAGGATGTTACGAACAGTCCTTATCTGACGTCCCCACGATCCTCCCATATGACTAGCGGCTGGAACGTTTGGTTGGAATTCGATCCAGTCGCACTCGTTTTTTAGCAGGAAATCTCGCACGTTTTCTCTATTCATTTCCTTCAGGGCTTCTGCAAGTTCGTTACGCGCTCCTACGAGGTTCGTACCTTGATCGGATCGTAGCACTCTTATCGGACCACGTCTCGCCAGGAAACGACGTAATGCATTAATGAATGAGTCAGTTTCTAGGCTCTTCGCTACTTCGAGGTGTATTGCACGTGATGCAAGGCAAGTAAATAGGACACCATACCGTTTGAGTTCGCGTCGTCCTTCTTTAATAAGCCACGGCCCGAAGTAATCGACCCCGCAGTGTGTAAAGGGGGGTGATGGTTCCAGCCTGTCTTGAGGTAGATCGGCCATTTTCTGTTCTTGGGTGGAACCGCGGAGTTTCTGGCATGGAACGCACTCGGAAATATGATGAGCAACAGCGGAACTTCCACCAGTTATCCAATACCCGCTCGCACGAAGCTCATTCAGCGTCATTCCGCGTCCTTGGTGGTTAACCCGTTGATGATAGGCCCTGATCACTAATGCAGTAATGTGTCCCTTTCGTGGTAAGATGGTCGGATGTTTAACATGATGGGGTGTTTGCACGAGTAAGGCGCCCACCGACACGAAGGACGCCCTCCTTGTCGAGAAATGGATC